TCATTATTTTGAGAAGTACATGCAAAAACTGAACATTTTATATCAAAATAATAAAAACATCAGCCATCACTGACAGGCAAATATTGTTGATAAAAGTCTGCTTTTGGCTTTATTTTATACATACTACCTAGAAGCATGCACTGAACTAGAATAATTTGAAAATATTGATTCACTAGAAAAATACGGCCAAATATGTCAGTAAAAACTAATTAAAAAAGTACACATGCTATTGAAGAAAAAATGATGTAACGTAAATTCTATGAGATTACTTTTTTTAACTTCTAATCTACATTATGCATAATAATGTATAAAACGTGTATGCAAAATTTCATGTGATTCTATGATGAACGTTTAGAGTTATTATGGTTGCCGTGAACATAAATCATGAAAAAAACAATTAATCAAAAATCACGTTTTAAAGTTTTCAGATTGTTACATGACATTATATACACAAATATTCACTAAAAATGCTCCGTTATATCTGACAAAGAGTATAATATTTAAAAGAATAGAAACATCAACATTATGTTTGGTTTTCAATTTATCAAAATCACTTTTTTCAATTGCAATAAATGTTCCAGATAATTTAGCCTCACTAGCACAGACAGATGTTTCAGTTTCATTGTGATTACCAGAATCAGCAGTCATATATTTAATGTGTCGGTTGGCGTAAAAGTTTCGCTTTTTTTAATAACTACGTATAAATTTTGTCATTTTCGAACTTTCGATTATTAAACAGAATTAAAAAAATGCAGAAAAATGAATCTTTAGCTGATAAATTAGCGCAGGAAATTTGTACACACAACCGAAATACCGAAAGCTCAATGTAAACAAAACAGTAAGTTTGAAACGTTGTTGCCAAACGTAAAAGTGAAAATACTTTGCCAGATTCTCCAAAAATATCGAAATGCTTAAAATTATTTAATTTATAAGTAACACAGAAAAAAAAAAAATGGAAATTGCACCTTTAATTTGCCCTTTAGAGAGGAAAGGTATAAAATTAGGCAAAACAAAAATTGGCTCAGACTTTTAAATCGCGTAATTTTGCGTTTTGATGAAAAGATAAGTTATCTAATAACAATATTGTTTTTTATGGCAATATGTTTTTTAAAAATTCTTCACTTCAGAAACCCATTTAGTTTTGAACTAATCTTGGAGTATCTCTATATTCATCCATACCCCTTTTTGATTGTAAAAACAAGGAGATTTTTTATTTCGGTCCCATTAAATAATTTAAGCTTCTTTGCTTTTCCAGTTACCAACAGCTTCATTTCATCTTTTCCCGATGCGTTTCCACAACACATGACTGTAATTCACTCATCGCTGGTTCGTGCTCGGTAGTGGACCTTTTCTTTTAATGCCGAAGAAGCAGGTCATGGATAACTGAAAAACACGTATCCAAGCTATCAATTTTTATGCGCATTGCATGTGTTTACTTTTATTATGAGAAATTTTAAGTATTTGTTGAATTTCACTGCATATTTTCCGAAGTGCAGTTAAAGAGTTTCAACAGAAATCAGCAAGCATTTTCATTGGCAAACTATTTTATTACAGGGCCTGTCTCATCTGTATTATGGATTTGATCAGGTTGCAAATTTTCTTGCTTCAAATGTTTTCCAGAAAGTCGATGCAGAAGTTATCAGAGGCTTCGACACAACCACTGAGATATTCTTTTTGTATGCTAAGCTCTCGAACATCCTATCGTTGCTGGAGTCTTGTAGGGCATCCCCACGAGGCCTTATAGTTACCTTCTATTCTCAACTTTTTCTAGAGAAACTTCTTAAATGCACATTCGACTGCTGATTGGCACTTCTGCTCTTTTCTGATTAAGCCATAGTACTGAATCTACGTTTTCGTGTATTGAGAGTTTTATACTCTCTCGATTAGAAAGATCTGCAGCACTGACACAATCTCTTGTGAAGGCCCTGAATTCTTTGTTTAACAATATCATCAGTAGTTTATATTCTTCGGTCTTTAGTCCATATTCTTCTGGGAGCTGTATTGTCGATACGCCATCTTCAAATCTTTTGATTAACATAAGCTTTCGTTTTAGTGTTTAAAACAACTTCCTTACTCTTGGAACGCGTATCGTTTTCTTTATTTCCTTTTAGTTCTGAAATTTTAAATTAATTTCTAAAGAATAGAAAGAAAATACGCACAATTGTACGTAAAAAACAAAAGAATTCCAGTGATCAACTGAAAAGATGCCTGTAAACTTGCAGCAAGAATTGTACGAGGTAATCTTTAAAAATAAACCTAAAGGCTCAATTCAGCTGTTTTAGAGCATTCTCGGACTTCCAAGTGTTTATTTTTTACACAATCTCGCGCATTGTGTTTCGGTGTGCATGTGTAGGCATCGCCTTGTACAGATAATTCTCACTCAGATAACCGAAAGTATACTGTAGTTAGTAATTTTCCAGACACATCTTACTGATGACTTTTTAGTTCGTTGTATGAAGTAAAAAGGAAGTATTGTAAACGCGATATTAAATTTATAATATCACACAGTTTCATAATTCTGTCATCACCAGTGCTTCCAGTCTCATTTGTTTTGAAAGATGTTATTGCAGAAAATAAAGTAGCAGGTGATCTCGGGCGTATTAACATCGCAAAATCTTGTTTTCAAGCAGGAAGGAAACAACAAGTCATTGACAATAAACTGTTAATAGTTAAGCTGAGATATTTTACCGGAGAAATGTTATATACTCCTAATTGTGTAGTATTAATTCAAAGTCCTTCAGACCCTATTAGACTGACGTGAAAATTAGCGCTTCGTCGGAAAATGTACGATCAAATCTTACGAAGGTTATAATTAAACCCTTTTTTACTTCCTTGTACGAAGTAAAAAGGAAGTAATGCAATCGCGAAAAGTTTCAGGCAGCATATTTCAACGAAAATATCCATTTTGACCGTTATGGAATGCAATTTAACGATGTTTTTGCGTGATATCTGTGCGTAAGCACAGAATAAAAGACTCGCTTCCTCCAAAAAAATTATAAAACTGCTTTACAATTAATTCTGAAGAGAATTTTTCGTAACGTCTGTACCGTATGTACGTACGTACATATCTCGCATAACTCATAAACGAGTAGCCTCAGAACGTTGAAATTTTGTATATAGGACTGCTATAACATGTAGATGTGCATTTCGTATTTTGGTTGCAATCGGCCTCACCAAACGTATATAAATATATTTATATATATATCCACTCTGTTACCAGTGATTTCAGTTTCTTTACTCTTATATGTTTGTAAATTGTACATTTTTTGCTTTAAAAATGATTGAATTATGTTGTTTTTATCTTCCGGTTAAGGTTTTTATGCCTTTAGTAAATCTGTATGCAATATTGTTAGAATTATCAACAATTTTAAAGTTGTTTAATTGCCGCTTAGCTTTTTTTTTTTTTTTTTTTTTTTTTTTTTACGGCGGCCGTTGATTGTTTACATTTGAAACCGCAGACTAGTGGATTTGTTGCCAAACTAGAGAAACTTAGCTTCGCAACAACAAAAATAACGCATTCATTTATTATTGCCAATTAAATCATGCTTAATCCTTTCTGAAATGTTTTGGAGGAAATAAGTGTTTAAGATTTACTTTCGTAATTTTTAATATAGATATTTCGAGTTTTTATGTATTTTTGGCCTTTTCGCGAAGTGAGAACTGAATTAGTTGAATGAGAAATCCTGAATCGTCTTGGAAAAACTGCTTCTTTTCTTTGTTTGTTTAATTCTTTTATACATCACCTTGTATACATATTATTCAGATTTATTATAGTATTTAAATGGAACATGTGCCAACGATCAGACAATTCTTTAGTTGATATAATTTTGTGCATTCGGAGTTATAAAATGAATGTGATGTAACGGTGCTAAGTGAATCTATCGCCAGAGTGTCGCTATGGTAAATAAATATCTAGAGTGAATTTTAAAGAGTGCATTAATTCTATTGTGGTTTATGTGCTATCGGCGAAGTAGATTTAATTCAATCCAATAAGTTTAAATGAAATGCAAGAAGAAATGCGTATTATTTAATATTCCGTACAAGGAAGTCATGTGGTGTACACATCAGATTTTTTTCTTTACCAAGTTGGCAACATTTGGTGATTTTTAAAAATTATTTTGGGAAAAAGAATTTTCGAAACTCTAAGAGCAATTTCAGAAAAACTGCAATCTTTTCCGGGGATGCTCGCTTTTAGTTTGAGTTATTTACAGCATCTCTTAGAAAGTTCTCCACGAACACTATCTGCTTTGCTGTAATCCAAACCGAATAAAATGCTATAAATTATAAAACCAGGTACATTATTAAATTAAAGTAAATATGTAAATTATTAATTAGCACATAATCTGTGAAATCGGTTAATTTTTCAGTAACCCTAGTAATAATTTAAATGATATAAACTTATCAGCAACAGTTGTTAGATCACTTAGACGGTACATTCTCGGTGGCGTAACGTAATGTAGCGTAATGTTCTCAAAATCGGCTGTTTATATAACAAGTATAGCTTCCAGTTGACAACTCCCGTAGGCAGTTAGTACAGTTACGTTGAGAAGGAAAATAATATTACCATAGATTTTTTAAACCGTGAGGTCGATGAACCTAACTTTCGCGTGCTCACCAACTAACTGCGTTTAAAAGTAGAAATTTCTAATTTTATAAAAACAAAATCTATTTGGACTTGGTACGTTTCACACTAGTTGGACACCAGTTTATGACATCTTGAAAGGCAATGTAAACGTAGAACTGAAATTTGAAGTATATATTCTTCTTTCTAATGCCCTAAAATTTCATTGTGAGTCATTCTTAATCATCTATCACATTAGACCCAGCATACATGTAATGTCATTTAGTTATTAAAGTTCAGTGACCCTGCGGGAAAGTCACGTTTACCTCACGTGTCGAGAAAAAGAGCATTTTACACGCAACGGTGGTTAATAAACAAAACACCCACTGTTCTAAATCTCATAGATTTCGAAGACTTCCGCCTTAGTTCAAATGACTTGCTATTACACTAAGTTCGCTGAAGCAGTTTAAAGATTCTGTGTGAATTATAAGTGATAATGGAATTTGTATTACTTATTACATTTGCTGTAGCTACTTATATGTGTTTCCCTTAATTGGGATTATCTGTTTACGACTCTACAATGTAATCAATACAATAAATAATGTTGTGAAGTCTCTTACAGTATTCAAAGCTAGGATATTGTTGATTTCAGGTGAGTTTTCCAGTTCTTCCAGTAGCAATATGATATCATTTTAGATTTTTTACATTCTAGATGGTAGTGTTTTTAAGATGCAATTAAAAAACTGTAGCCCGAAAACTTTATATGATACCTCGAAGTTTCAAAAAGTTAAAAAAAATATTTGAAAAAATTAGAAAGTATAAAAATTGAAAATAAATAAATAAATGTTTATATTACGCCTAAGGGATCATTTTTTAACGTTTTGTGTGTTATCTTTACTTATTAAATATCATGATCTTCGCACTTACATCACAAAATTCAATTCAATATCGATATCAAAAAATATTTGAAAGAGCATATCTTTAGAGTTTCCGATACACAGTCTCGCGTGCTGGAGATAAAATGTTTTTTCCCCTTCCGTAAAGTGTTGCCATTGCTCGCTTTGAAATCGTTGAGTTTGTTAATAAAAAATTCTTTAATGTTCGACAAAATAGGAAATAGATAATAATAAAAGAAATTCCATATTCCAAATTTGGGCTTCCAGATGCACATATTCGAATAAATGTGATGTCTCTATGTACCCTTTGTTTTCTCACAGTGCGATAAATATACATACATTCATGAAAATTCTTCATTATTTAATTTATTTAAATATAATGACGGGCTTTAATATTTAGTGGTAACAATTTGAAAGGTGAACCGACACTTTTAGTGAGCCGACGCAAAATGCCACAACGAAATTAATAGCCCCTTTGGGCAAATTGCGGCTTTTGGCTAATAAGATTAAGAAACTACAACGAGATATTGGTGTGCAGATTTTAGTTTAAAATCTTATATAATTTTGATCTAAACAATTAAGAATAGTCTACTAGTTTCAGAATTAGTCACCCAGGAACTGGAGTGAAATCTTATATCTGAAGCGAGCTGTTCAAACTTGCAAAGCCGAATTGTAGGAAAAAATAAAATATCACAGCTAAGAGATATATGAATTTTTTTAAAACCAAAAAAAAAAAAAAAAAAAAAAAAAAAAAAAGATTGAATTAAGCCCAAGCCCATCTAATGCAGCATTTCACTGGATCGTTTGCGCTTCAGTCTTCCGACAAATGTTTCCCTTAAGTGGTACAAAAACATTTTCCATTTTACTTATACGCTAAAGCTGCTGGCTGAAAACAGTAACCAGCTCTTCGGGGAATGTTTCTCTCTAACTATATAATGCTGCAAAGTAGAGATGCATAACAGAATTCTGCTTGGTTTTAAATGCGTAAAATGAACAAAAAATCCTTCAAAAGAATTTAAGCAGCTAAACATTTGCTGTTAAGTACTACAAATTCTACTGTAGCAGGCTTTTATTAATTTTAGTTAATAGTATACAGTGGTGCAGTTTTGTTACCTTCTATGATATGATATGTTAAAATATAATTCTATGATATGTAAAGTCAATATGTTAAAACACAAAATAGTTACTGTTTATTAATTTTGACGTATTACTTTTACGTTTGAAAATAATCTCAATGATAAGAAAAGTTTATTATATTATTACTCCCCGATACAAAATCCACTTTCGAATTTCGATCTATGACTTCTCTTTTTTAACAGCATATGCTTGATTGTTGGTGCACTCTGAAGTTACTGATGAGAATGACCAACGTCGATATCAAGTATTACGATGTTGCCAACAGTTATGGAGAAATCTGACCAAAAAAGAACTAAAATACGATGCCGGACAAAGTATCATTCTAAATTCGTTCATGCGGAGCATTTTCCAAGGGTTCTATACGGATATGCTTACTTTCCTGTAAAATGGAGGTATTTTTAAAAAACTTGTGTTAACGATAATACGTATATATATAATCAGACGTATACACGATGCCATTCAGGCTGTAATAAAATATATTTATAGTACATTTCAGAAATATTCCTTTAGTAATATTTATACATCTTAAAAATAATTTGAATCTTTTGTTTTTAAATTGCATAGATACTTAAAAGTCTAAATAAAATTAAGCAAAATTTAATCTTATATGAGCAAAATTATTCTTGGATTATTGAGTAGCACAGAATAATGTTGTCGCTACTGGGAGATAAGAGACCGCGTTAAATTCTTTCGAAATAAACGCAGCATGTTTCTAGAATTCAGTCATAAAAGTTTGATTAATTTTTAATTGAATTCAGACTTTTCAGAGTGCACGCATTTCAAATAAAATTATTCATTAGGAATACTCATGCGTATACATAACTTCTTCTCTTCCGTCTTCCAAAAAAATAAAGCGTTAAAAATTTTGTATTAATTTTCAAAACAAAAAATTCAAATTTAGGAATTTTGTACAAACAATCAAAATTTTCAATTTAAAATTTGCATTAATTATCAACTAAACATTCCAGGACACCATTTTAATTTACAAATGAAAAGAATTTTCTGAAGAATTGATCATTTTTAAAATAAAAATAGCATGCATAGTTAATGTTCTAGCTTAACATATCCGTAAGCAAACGATGTATTATCTTCAGCAATCAATCACTAGTATTTTACACGGACTTATAAGCTTCCATTTAAAATTTATCATAAAATAATGCTCTAAAAAGGAGAAAAATAATTTGTCATATAGTTTAATGGGGAAAAGAGGTTAAACAATTCTCTTTACAAAATTTATCTACTATTTTATATCACTAAAAATATTAAGATAATGGATTATGCTTTTGACAGTGCAGTTCGGTTATTCGATTTCATTAAAATTACTGCCATGCTTTTATTTTTGGTGATACAAAATTGTACAAGAATTTTTGTGAAAAGTATAATTAAATAATTTGTTCCCATTAAACTCTTTGATAAATTATTTTTGTTCTTTTAGTTCATTATTTATTTTAGGAGTTCTAAATAAAGGTTTCTTCTATTAATTTTTATTATTTTCATCGTTCTATCTTAATGATACGTTACCAATGAAATTTTCAGTTGAGAGACATTTTTCAACTATGAATAGTACTCTTTTACCTCCAAAAATTTTGTCACGTCAATAAATTAAAAGTCCATCAATTTTATCAAAGAATCAGAAATTATGTTTAACTCTCGCATAATTTTCATTTAATTGATGATTTAATTTGTTTAATCTATGCGATGGTGTAAACAGTAAACATCTGAGAATTTTAGTGTACTCATTAAAACGATTACTTGTATGAAAAACCGTTAAATTTAAAAAAAATAAATCAGCTTTTGAAAACATTGCTTCACTACATTGTGTTATCGTCAATAATAAATGTGTATACAAATTTTTACTCGATAGATTATCACAAAGTAGCTTAAAAATCATTGACAAACATTTGACCAAAATAACATATCAGTGAGCTAAATAAGAGTAATAACATTGCAAATAAAACGATAAAAATAACCAAAGCAAATGATTTTTCTAATACATTTTAGAGTTTAAGCTTTTAAACTGTACAACAAAATTTTTAACAGCTATTTTCGATATCTGGCCGTAATATTCCATAGCAGTTCAGCATTAAATCAATATTAAGTATGTAAAAGTGGACAGTTGCATTTCTAACACCAGGGTGCAAAATCTTATGTGAGTTTTATTTGTTCTTGGCGTTAGATTCATGGCAGTAGTTTTACAAATTACAAGAAAGCAGATGTATTGCATTTACAGATACGCATCGTAATGGGAAAACATGAAATTAACCGACGGTTTAACGCGTTATGATTGTTGGTAAAATATTGACTATCATGTCATTTTCGGACAGCTTGATTTATCTGAAACAGTTAATCCTGCGGGGATATCTTGATAAGATAGGATAAGGTCGTTAGATGATGAAACATTTGGATAATAAGTTGTTGTGGCATTATATGTTTTTGATAAAAAAATGTGAGCTTATTAGATCACCCGACCTTTAACACAAAATGTGACAAATGGAAATGTTGAAAATATACTTAAACTCTGTTTATAACCAGCTTTCAAGCACGTAACCTGACTTTTGAACAAATTTTTTTCAACAGAAGAGTATGAAAGATCCTAGCAATATTTTTCTGAATGGCTAAATTAACGCCCAGTAAAATCTCTATTGAGAAATTACTGTACAATATATCCTTTATCATGGGATGAAGTATTGCAAGACCTTTGCATTAATGTATATAATAGTGAAGACATATATCCCAGTAGAAGTTTAAAAGCAAACTTGAAATCACTAGAAGGGAAGCTGAAAGATAAATTTCCCTTTTTGGCTTTATTAGATTTAAAGTGACTGTATAATAAAAGAATGGCCTGCTTTCGAATAATTAGAGTTCATCAGAATAATTCGAATAATTAGAATGCAATGATATTCATAAGACAGAATATCATTGCGCAAAGGTTAACAAAAAGACCGCCCTTTTCAGTATAGAGGTTAATGCTCCTGGCTGCAACAGTGCTAGCTCCAGGTTCGAATCGAGGAGAAGGTTTGGATATTTGTAAGATAATAAATATTCTTGCTTGGATATTTGTAGCAAGTGACATGAGGCGTTTAAAATACTGACCAGCCTAAAGTCCTCTTGAGAGGCTTGGTAATATGGGAAGACGAGTCCACCGCTTTGGTGCGTACTTTATTAAAATTGGGACAGAAATTTCCCCGCTAAATGGTCAATATTATTGGCCATTCCCGGCGAAGGTTGTAAATATCGATCCGTTTAAAAAAGAAACATGCTAGCCAACAATTTTTTTTATTACTGCAAAGCTTCGACGTTTATTCCTATCAGGATTTTTAATTAAGGGATTTCCATCTATAATTTTCTAGGAGACTTATTTTTTACCCCACGTGGTGAAACTTCTGCACCTTGTGACGATTACATGCTTTGCACCATTAGATGAAAGGCTGCACCACAATGCGAACTGCTGCAAAATATTTCATTACAAATATGGTCGTTTGGTACGCCAAAGCAAAATGGGCAAAATTATTTAAAGGATAAAATTTTGCATCACTATGGTACATTCGTCTATTCAAAAACTTTACTGAAAAATGTTTTCATGCACGTGAAAGTTGCAGCAAATTTAATTTGGCTATGAGAATATGTTAACATACGGTTTATTGAAGAAACGTAGAAACTGACTTCATCTGAGAGAATGTTCCTGTTATAGTGTAAAAGGAGTTAAAGCATCTTTTGATCATGACTTATCACCTACTCATCTTTGAAGTAATATCCATCAGAACTCATTACCTGACTTACCGCAGTCACCTAACTGCCAGATTTCTCATTCTCTGATTCTGTTGTTCTGTCTTATCAAGATGGTTCTATGAATAAAATATTCCAAGCAATTCAAGCTCCAAGCAATTCAAGCTATACAAAACCACGTGGCGGCTAGTCTCTGCCGATATTAAAAAAAGCTAATTTTTAGTGCTTTCAGATTGTTAAGAGCGCTGGATGCGGATTCTGATGGGTGTTAATCTTTAGATCATACGAGTTTATACTTTCACACTGATGACTTTTCTCAGATGAAGTTAATTGTTTTACTTTGACGATTTTGATTACCACTTTTATGTCTTTTATGAAAGTACTTCTTACCAGCTATGCAATTCACGCACTTGTTATCATTCTGGAAAAATTAATTACTGTGAGATATGTTGCATATAAATTTAAAATTTATTTAAATTTACGCGAATGGAGTAACAAAAAGTTCATTTTAATTATAATTCCTTTTATATCATCCGTTTTATTAAATCCCTCAACAGACAAAACATTGTTTTTTCTAGGTGATATAAATTTAACGCACGTGGTTAACAACATCCATTAACTCTTTATGATTCAAGGACTTAAATTAACAGTTCTTCAGTAAAAGAGTTTTCTAGCATCATAGATATTTAAAGTTAGAAATTACTAAGCAATTTACGATTTTAAAGCATAAAAATTTCTTACATAGAACAGTCTTAATTCGGAGGGAGGGGGGAAAACACCTGAGTATCCCCAAAATTATTAAAAATGTATTTAAGTTTGAAAATAAGTTAGTAATAAGTTTAAGCCACAAATCTGAAATAACTACGCTGCCCTAAAGACTTTTAAACGAGATTTTATTTGTCATTAAATCTTCTTACTTTGCCCCAGTCACTGAATCAGTCATGAGTATCATTGCCAAGCGCAATAAAAGATCCCCTCTTGCTTCTAGTAAGTGCCCGTATAAATCCTCTAAAAGAAGGCGTTTCCTCACAAAAGAGTACTGGCTTAACCTAGGCGTAATGCTAGATACAGGAAATGAAACTAAATGTAAGTGTAGTGCTTCCGCAGTTCAAGCGTGAGTTTATGAGTATGTATAGTTTTATGGTAACAAAAAAAATGTTGCTTTTATTGAACCTTTTAATCTATAAATTCACTACGATCAGTTAGAAGGTAGTCATAATAACTTCAATATGAGGTAAGAAAGTATGAGCGACTAAATATTTCTTAAGTAGTTGGTCGTAGACCTATAGACTTATGGGTCAATTCTTAGAAAGAGGAAGAATGGTTTTTCAGATTACGGCTGATTCGGTAGCGTTAAACCTTTGTGGTGCCAAATTAATTTAAAATGAACATTCAACCTTACATCATTAAGATTTATTTTTATTTGTTGGCAAAATTTCACTTTTGACAACTATTTATTTATTAGCAAAAAACGCCAGTAAAATATGTTAATTAGTTGTATATTTTATGACAAAAGCACTTGATGTACACAATTATCCTCAATACGTCAGAAGAATGATTCATGGAATTGAACCGAACAATAAAACAATACAAATAAACTAATAAAAATGTGATAATATAAGAGAGATTTGAAACAATGATAACATTTAAACTTAAATTAATTTAT